CCGTTAGCTACTGTTTTAAGAACCTGAATATTATGTCGCTGTACTTAATAAAAAGGGACAGGTGTGAGACTTCGAATAAATGCATGTGATCTATATGCACGCTACCTACCCACGTCAGCTGTTCACCGGCCAAGCGCCTTTGGTCGACTGTCGGTCAGGATCGATTCTTCAAAACCCGTGATCTGGGTCCACCAATAATGTAGAGGCACGACGGCAAGTTCTGATTGGGCGACAGTAATTGGACATGGACGGACAGGCATCGGCTGCCGATGCAGCTGCTGCCGCCCGCTGCAAACGTGCATGTGCCGTTGTGACGACGTTCGCCCAACTCTGAGCCGTTTTCATTAATGTGTATGTAGTCCGAAGTTGTCGATCGAACTATGGCAGAGCTGGAAATGTTCAACTCAGTTATGCGTCGTTTTCAGTCTGAACATGGTCTGTTAAGGTTTCTATTCTGTCACAAAAACCCGAATGGGTTTACCGATTCATCGTGAATCACTTTGTTCAGACTGCATGATGTTACTATTTGTTTTGGTCGATCGAAAACCAGAGGCAGCGAATAGCCATTTCGACCTTTCAGGAGTTGGCTTGTGTTGCTCATGGGCAAAACCTCACAACGAGGCATAACCATTACCTCCCACGGAAGAATATTCGCACCACCACTAGCTAAGTGTATGCTAAATGGTATGCTAAGTGCTTGTAAGATTGATTAACTGACTGACTGTTGTGCGTTATTCTAGAAGGTTAACCAATGATGAACTCAGCTGGTGAATGTTGTACATAATCTCTACCTGCAAACTGATCTTCAGACAGACGCGCTTATGGGTTTAGATCGATCCTGTCCGTTTATTCCACTGTTGAATCAGACATAGTGCCTATTAGATTAACCGGTTCTTGATGTTGGTGTCTGAGTTGTTACTGTTGTCTCTTATCAGATTATCATTACTAATAGTCTAGCACTAAACCCTGAAGTGCTAACGCGGTTGTTCTATATTTAACTTTCTTAAAAACATTCGTCGCGGTATTCAAAAACAGTGCTGGAAAATCATACACATTCGATAAGAAAGAACACACTGAGTATCCGAATCTTTAGCATAGATTTTGAAGTTAGGAAGCATAGATTGTGTGAATGGTTCAAATGACCTCAGCGAACGTTGTAAACGAATCGGGAATTGCCGTGGATTCATTATCAATTAATGCAGCAACGCTTGCTTATAGGGTAGGAAGAGGTTGGCGAGGGACATCAGTAGGCAAAGAGCTGCGTGGGGAAATGGTAGATCCCGGTTGTCCAGTCCCACTTGCGTACCCCACAACTCAGAATAGATTGGTGTGTGGACTTTTGGGTAGTCGAAGATGAAGGGGGAAGAGTTGAACTCTAGCTCTTCGAAGCTGCATGTAACGGTCGGCACATCTATTTGAATTTCAGAGATCTGACTTGGCAGACACCGTGAACGTACAAGAATTATCGTAAATGGACATGTCTTTGGTTTGAGATACGAATGTGGGGCCGGACTATTTAACGCTAAGATACTGAGGTCGCTAAACTGTCATCATCTTGTATTCTGTCTGCCCAAACCAGATAAGCTTCATCGGTTACGGATTTTAACCTCTCCAACTACACTGTATTCAAGTGAGGTGGATCATAAAAACGTGTTTGCCATCATATATATGATGTTCTCATGCGATTATTAGGATGATTCAGGAACGAAACAGTGGTGCGTCCACGACAAATCAATTTGATCAATACCCGGAAGTTCTTAATGCGATTTTGTAGTCACCATTTGTCCGAACAACCGGTCCTCCGCACATCCAGTGGATGCACGAAAAATCTGTACCTACACCTGAAGGTAAGGGATTATAGCGCCTAGTCTAGCGATCACTATATCCCACTTGTTGCAAAGTTTGAAATCAACGGCCTTCAGTATACCAGGAAGATTTAGGGAAAACTACATTCTGTGCACTAGTTCTGGGGTTTTCGTGTTGACACAAATGTTTTTGAAGAAGTTGGAAAAACATTCCTGCCTTGATTAAAAATGTCGGAGTCATTCAAGCGAAGAAGGCGGGTGGTATAGGAGAGAAAGAGTTGGATCGCGCATTCATTCTCAGACATCATGTAACCGATTGTTCATATCTATCCCCGGTATTTTCAAATGTGTTTTTCCAAATGTGTATTTACAAATGTGTTCTACTAAAGGCAGGCGAGATGAAAGAACTCGTGCCTGAGGCCATTCAAGCACAATAGGTCGATTTTTTCGTCAGGACTGCATTAACTTGCCTGCAGTCAATCAGCCATAAGTTCACTTTCCAGTCACAACCACACCTTATTGAGCTCTATTGGAGGTAGTACGTCTCCCTGCACTCTTTCTAGTCCATTGTAGGAGCCACAAAGAGCTGCTGGCTAAGTCTGAAAAGTTGGCATAGCAGCAATCGGGGAGCCAAGATGCCTCAGTAAGTAACACACGTTTGTGGTGCTACTCAACTCTCACATTACAGAGTTGAGAAACCTCGAACACAGATTTTAGCAGTTTACTAACTAACTGCTAAGACTCATTCATCTTTCGATTAGTTCGCTTGCCGACCGTGAATTGCAAAGATACCTCTAAATTCACTTCACATAGAGAAACTGAACTCGTGATAGCAACCAACAAGAGAAGTGCTACATTTGATGCGAGTAAGTGCGTTCTTCAGGGGAATGGAGTCCTGTCCAAAAAACGATTCACGACACCGTTGCTTCTGTCTTTGTATTGGTTCAGTTCCTCGAACGACGATGAGCTTCGTTAGAAACGAAACTTCAAACCAGTGCTTCCATGAATTATTGGACGATGACGGAGAAGGAGCCTGTCAAGCTAGAGTGCCATGAATGCTAGTTCTGCCAATTCCACAAACATTGTATTAAAGTAGTCTGAGAGGTTTATTAGAACTGATCAGAACACACTGCTCCTTGAAGTTTTACGTCAATTATGGGTAGACTACACCTTAGTTAAGTTCTCTTATGGCAGAGGAAGCGAAGGATTCAGTCACTTACGTTTACAACAAACACTGCGAACGATAGGAACGCTAAGAATAACCAATATTTCAACAAACTGAAATCGTCTGCATTTGACTGCCGACTACGTTCAAAGCGCATCCATTTCAGCCACATCTGAAATATGGCGGTGAAGCACAAGTGTTCGCTACAGGCGTTGATCCAAATTAAGATGATGCTACAAGGGATAACTTCATCTGAGCAACTGCGACAAGTTCTACTCTGTAATAAACTGTCAGCACGATGCAGACGTGATTCACTCATCACCCTTTTCGCATTGACTGAAAGTATGTTTCCTCCTACAAGTCAATTCGCAGTGCTATGCTACAGGCATTCACTTTAACCTAGGGATGCATTGAGTGATGCCACAACCTAGTTCAGCGCCTATTTCAGCACCTACTGCCCCGCTTTCCCCGTTTTCACGTCCCTGAAGGCCGAAAATGACAAGATGGATATTACCCTTGTTTTAGCCTTTCAGACAGATATTGGACCGGTGTATTTATATTATTATATGTAAAATGTTCATATACAGGCTATCGAACCCGGCGACCATCTTTACGAAATCCACCGTAGACCACTTATTTTCCAACACTGGAGCATCATTTCATGTCCTACACGGCGCCTAAGATTTTTGAGGTCGTAGTACGGATAAGACAAGGACACATTCGATTTAATTACAAATGGCCGGTTACTCGACTACATTCATGTATAATTCTTTTTGATTGAGAATAGCCTTTTCCCCATGACGAGAGTTAAGTGTGGCGCGAATTGCCAGGTGTGCTCCAAGTTCATTCAGATCATCTAGTCATCCATTCAGGCCTGTTGTGAACAATCCTCTTGAAGGTATGCTGTGATAACCAGTGTAGCATCATTTCAAAGGCAAACGGGTTTGCGGTAGATCTGGCCAGCCAGCCAGTAAGTAGCTAGATATATATTCCTAGATATTTACACAGCACTAACCAGACCTCTTCTGTGAGGAAACCACTTCTCTAGAGGGTCCGAGACGGTGTTCACCGTCCTCAGCGATCCTTTCGAAAAGAGAGGGTGTACGTGCAGGAAAGGCCAAATTGTTTTCCGTTTAGCTGTAGCACTCGTTCGGTGCTTAGCTACCATGCCACTCAGAGGAAGCACGAGAGCTGTGACACTCCCAGGTTGCCCAAGCCCATACAGGGGAAATCGAGATACAGAGGCCGGGTTCGAACCGCGGACCTTCCGGTCAGTAAATTCGCGCTCTAACCACTGAGCTACCTCACCGCCGAGAGACGAATTACGTCATTCGCGAGGGGCTCAATGTGGCCAGGGTGCAGGTGCATCACTTTAGATAGTCATCATAATAACGAACGAGTTTTACTAACTAGTGGAAGACTTCTGAAAGGGGTTTAGGCTGCCAGCAATTTCGTGACCTCGAATAATTACCTCCGAATTTTCGTGGAAACAGGCGGAACGACAGTGTGTGAACATTCACGAATTCGTAACCGCTTACAGTATTTAGACCACATACAACGGTTCTCTTTTAACTACATCCTCTAGTAGACAAAGGAGCAGCGTTGTTCTAGATTCAGCTTGAATTCACTCAATAATCTGGTAACAATGCAGAAATTACAAAAACGTAGCTCCTGCTAGAACCCTGTTCCAGTTCGAAAGGCGATTCCTACAAGGAGATTAATGCCGTTCCTAAAAGCTGTGTATCAACAAACCAGGATCCCACATTGAGTACGCATAGAGCAGGCGAATTATTTTCACATTTTTCCTGACACCTTGTAAATGAATAAAGAGATTTCAGAACTATGGATAATTATGGGCGATATCAAAATGTCTGACAATTAAACAATGTCACATAAATCCCATTCAACAGCACCAACGACCAGACCCGTATAGCGTTCGTTTCTATCCAAGGAGTTATTTGAACGGAAATTCCGGGTGATTCACCATTCTGAAAGTGAATTGTGTTTAAAAGCAATTGACAACCACTCACAATGGTGGACGGATTCGACGACTGTTTCCACTGGCAGCATTCAATTTGTCCATGTCATCGGGAGAAAGCATAAAGTCGAATATCTTTGGAGCAGAAAGCGGAATAGGGGTGAAAGCCCAAAAGCTGCAGAATGACCTCACCATACTAAATATGTACAACTCCCCATATCACAAATTGGCTTCATGACTAGTCAGGTTAGTTTGGCGTTTTGAAAGGTTTCAAAGATTTGCTTCAACTTTGTCGGATTTTGAATCACGTACAGCTACGTCAAACCGTTAGTCTTTATGTGGCTATAATCGGCCAAAACAACTCAATACTGTAGAACTACTTAGTCTTTGTTTACCTCCTTGGTAAAACTGACCCCAGTTTACCTTTGTCTTACGAGTTAGACGACAGCTTAGCTTTCTAACTTGTGCTATCCGTTGGAAACAAACATTAATTAGTCATCACATCCACTTTGGGAGTCTTGCATCAGTGGCTCACAAAGGTTGCTTGGCCAAAACATCATTCTGCAGGGCGAGAAACATTTACACCTCCGATGAACTGCACAAAAATAAGGAGCTGTTGAAAAAAAAACTCTGCTAGAGAATGGCTATTCGGAATTCTCTGCCCAAGCTGCATCTGAAACAAGCCTAGGTTAGACCTGGTTGCTACTGTCGAAAAGAAGGAAGTCTGCGTGGGACTACCATCTAAGGAGATTACATATTTGCGAACAAAAACAAAAATTAACAACCGCTCTTGAACGCACTTTACGGACCGCAAAGCTAAGAATAAGCCAGTCCAATTTCGTCCTGCGACAGGAGCGATGGTTCTGCAGCCCATGTCATCTGTAGGTGTGCTGAAACATTGTCGCCAGAACAGAACGCTGTTTCTCTGGAAGAATCGCGTAACTTATACCAGAATGTCTAGCGTGATCCATAGGGTAGCAGCCAGATAGTGCTTACTCTACAATTTGAAGCCCCGCATCGTCGACTGCAAGGCATCTCCTGGCCACGAGTTATTGTGTTGATCAGAAAGATCCTTTACCTTGAATGGTCGTATGCATGGTTAATCAAGTGAGGCAAACAGTTTTACTTGTGCGAAGGTTATTTTCTCAGAACATCCACTTATATTGACTCTGAACTCTGACAATAACCCCTCCCGTCTGAATGTCTTCACATGATTTCTCGAATTGTAGTTGTTATGTAATGTTGTAACGTGTCAGCGAAATAAGCTCATTTGCAGACGCGGAAAGCGACCGAATCTCTCGTTTCTGATTCAGTTAGAAGACAGAAATTCGGGGACTATGCCTGGGACTCGTTAACTGGGAAAATGATAGGACCACGGTCGTGTATTTTAATCTCTCGTTTCTGATTCAGTTAGAAGACGAAGAAGAAATTCGGGGACTATGCCTGGAACTCGTTAACTGGGAAAATGATAGAACCACGGATGTGTATTTCCTCCTTGGTACACATGCGTTACAAGTCACCGTGGGCCTCAAATAGTGAGTAAATGACATTCAGTCACAACCGAGCAATTAATCAATATACCATACAGATCAATAATGGGATGAGAACAGAAAATTAACCGATACATGCGTATGCATTTAAATGCCCGTACTAGAAAGATGACGGTAACGCTAACGACGATGGTGAACAAAGTCACGCAAAGTAAGAGGCCACCCTGAAGGCACAACCTCATTTGGTTGTCTCCCCTCCCCTAAACGGAGACAGCTGATTGAAAAAACGTAGGTCGAAAATGAGGTACTATGATGTCAAAACGATTTACTTATCATCAAACTGGTAAAAGAAGCATTTTACTCTAGACTACTCAATGGAATTTCACTGGGTGATTGTCAGTTCCCAGAGCATGAGATCGGATGTTAATGACGTTCATGGTGAATAGTTCTTAAAATTTGAGGAGACGGCCCAGCCGAACGTATTACGAATGTGTCCCATACACATTGAGTGGCATAACTTAAACGACTCACTCTAATATTTTCCAGAATTCTTCCAGGATTCGAACTTTTCGGTATGGCACACAATCCGCGCTGCACTGTGTGACGCAAGAGTATCTGACCGGCTGTTTTGTTATACTTTTTACACATTTCTTGCACAACGGGTAATTCCAACAAATTTTCTCCAGTACTTCAAGAAAGAGTTAGAATGAATTGATGAATTACAAGATATGCAATCGAATAGCAAAAAGTGCCCAAATCCTGAAGCTGACGCTGGCAGACATTTTCTCGGGAAAATTGGAACATGTTTCTTTGTTTAACCAAAGGGTTGGCAATATTTTCATTATCACTAAGGACGAAAATTCCCAGTTCCTTTTTTTCCTTGTGAAACCGGCTAACGTGGGTCAAATGGGAGTTTCCATTTTCATCAACATTTGCAAGCGGGTGTGCAAACGGGATTTCACGACGGTCGCGAGATTGCCTGTTGTGTCGTAGATGCTGTTCTCAAGCTTCACACCGATTGCACAAGTGTGGTTTGTGAAATACCTACAGGATCTGTTCTCAAGCTTCACACCGATTGCACAAATACCTACAGGACCAGACGGATATATAGTGCTGTGACAAGCTAAAAGTAGGGGGATAGTTCCCGGGGAAAACCTCATCACAAGTGCCTAACCGGACCTGACACTTTATCCCACATTCCATGATGTAGAGAAGAAGCTACTGTTAGTTCTATTGGGATGTCATGTTGAAAATGAAGTCAGCCCGTCCTGAAAAGCCAAGAAATATCGTTGAACGGTTTTATCCTTGTTGGGGGTCCTCAGCAATTTGTATGACACGAAACCACAGCTCAATGTTGATTTTTATAACTGATGGAAACAAGTACAGACCGGTCTCGACTCTAGATCGCGTTTAGATTGTTGTACAGTAACGTCCTATACACACTAACAAGTAAGGAACCGGTTAGCGCGGTCTGTCTAATTCCATCACAGCCTATCAGTTTATGTTGAACTGCAGGGACATTTCAACTTCTGGAATTATGTGGAAAGGAGTGTTTTGGCCAGTACTCTTACCATCTCATAAAATTCACAGTGTGAATCAAGCTCCACAACCCTCGGTTGCTAGACAACTAGAATTTGGTATCCACACTAAATCCCCAAAATGTTTCCGAATCCCATGCAGAAATAAACCATGAGGTAGTAGGGACTACTGAAACCATATTGATCGCGCCTTGTTGACCATCACTATGTGCGTGAAACGCTTGACTCAAGCATTATCGATTAACTGAGAATACTCACGTGATCGTCTGTATACAACTAACAAATGTCCATTTTTGCTGTTGATATAGATCATCTCGTATGTTTCAAAATCGACACTGAAGATAGTGAAAAAGGTGTTCTTGAATCGTGATATTCTCCTGTCCATTGATCAAAAGATATATGAACCACAGGCTGTCGATTTGCCCTATTGTGCTGATGTAATCGAATAGGCATGTTCCTTACACGATAGTGGCGGCACATGCAGTGATTCTTCCAAAACTGACTCGTGGGGAGTCTCTTGATGACGAATGATTGTGCGGTCATCGTTGTTCTTCTTTCAAACTCCAAAAGTGTGCTCCGTTCATAGATTTGATAGAAACGGATCTGTAGAGATGACTAGAAAGGAGGCACTGACTAGCTTTCCAATAGGTACATTCCGAAATGATTGGCGAAGGTCCTGACTTGAAATAACAAGCACTGAATCGCCAACTATTCCTACTTCTTTTACGTCTACTTTCGTTTCCACACTATTTATGGCTAGTTTTCTATTACTCTAGTCTACTTCGCCCACACTCTACTACACTTATTAAGCAAGAATGAGTGAACACAAAACACACCGATACGGAGCAAGACATTTGATAAACCTTGAAAATTCAAAAATAACGAATAAATGAGTGAACAGAGACTCGAACAATCAAGTTCTTGCTTTCCACACAGAAGCAACAGGGAACATGCGCCGGTGGAGGACCGATTCGTAAGTGGGAAATAGTAGTTCATATCCACCCATCCAGGAACGTTTTTCCATTTACACAATGTGTAAATGGAAATTTCCGCATTCTTTATGTTTAGCAAGTCCACACCTACTATATCCATTTTACATGAGTAAGCTCCCGGTGGATGTATGATATCGAAGTCATCATCATCACTGTCAGCACTAATAACCGCGTACTTGTCGTACAGTGTTTGGAGCTGCCACTGTTTCGTTCACCGATGATTCAGAGGGCGAGTAGGTAGCTGCGCATTGGAGGCGGGAGCTGATAAATTAGTGCGTGAATACAGCACTGTACGTGGATTGTTAAGTGGGGGGATTGGGAAGGGAGCTATACACTGAAGGCAATAGCTTGGATACATGAGCGCCATTGAGAGCTCGACTGGGCCATGTCTGACAATGTCTCTAACCATTGATATGACCCGTCTCGGGGTCCCCATCCAGGAAGACGGCAATGACCAACGCAGCTGAGTCTGCTGGTAATGGCTTTCGTACTTCACTACCCAGTCATTGTTTGACCGCCTCCACCCCTTACGTGGTTGTACGAAAAGAGCCCTTCGAGGAATTCGGTTGACTGGCATACGCAACACGTTGCCAAGCCAGAGTAACCGATGCAGTGTGATCAGTTCGTCTATCGAGGGTGAAATAGTTCTCCCGAATACTATTCGACGTATTTCAGCATTGCTGATTCGGTGTTCCTACCAGATTTGGGCAATGCTCCAAAGACATCGATGGTCAAACACTGAAAGACTTTTGAAGTCCTCGGCGCGCAGCGATCAGCTTTCTGATGCATATAGTAATATAGAGTGCACCGCAGCATTGTAAACTCGACCCTTGACAGAGAAGCTGATGTCACGCCTACGCCACAGGTGACGCAGGTCACAAAAGCTGCTCTGGCCTTCCTAATCTGGATGAAAATATCATCTTTCGCGAGACCACCGGGACTAATACAGCTACTCAGGTAAACAAATTTGTCTACTACCTCAATCGGTTCATCCGCAAGCATGAGGCTAGAGTTCTAGCCCAACCGGTCTTGCGGTAGCACTTTACACTTTGCAGGTGTGAAGCGCATGCCGAACCGTGAGCAGTCCACTAGAAACGCGAACATACATCATTTTCTGAAATATCCCGGTAGGACAAATCACGTGTAAAACTCCAGTATTTTTTGACATCACCTTTGATCAGCCGCAGATCCAAGTGGAGAATAGGCGGTTACCACCATCCCCACGGATTTAGCGAAATCAATCACTTCCTGATTAAGAAATCCCAAATGGCTTTCGACTTGGAGAACGACTGGCTGTACGTGTGCGCACTCGAGTATTCGACGAATTTGAGATTGATTGAAATTGGACAAACCGATTGACTTGACCAGTCCCATTGAAACCAGTTCTTCCATTGCCTACAAACAAAAACATCGGTAAGCAAAGTGTGGATTCGAATGAACCACCCCATTGCGACTCAGCCAAACATCTAACTTTGACGTATCGTAGTCCGGCTGAAGGTTTTTCGAAAAACAGAGTTGGAACTCTTGTGTTCTAAATACACAAGAATCTAACATGAATTCAAGTATACATGAACCTTCCGTTGAAAGTATTGGGTTTCAGGAAACTGCTTATGTCTCTCCTCAGCTGGACATATCACTGACAAACCTTTCCTCTCACTGTGAAAAGAAGCGCCTGAGAAATATTCTTCTTGGTGTCTGAGTCATTGTACTGTTGTCTATGATCTGTTACTCGTTTTCAACAATACGTCCATTGTGGCAAATAGTGTAACTGTGATCTTTCGGTCATTTCGTCTTGCTTCAGCAAATTACAAGTCCAACATATTGTGTTGAATGCTTTCGGCTACAAACCGACGGTTACCTAATGTATCTTGGGTTGCTTTTGAATAAAAATCAAATGCCCCATCGCACTCTAGCCAGTGAATGAAGCTGTTAGTCATTCATAATTTGTATATCAGAATACCCCCCCCTCGTGACACTTTATTCTTCTTGGTGTCTGAGTCATTGTACTGTTGTCTATGATCTGTTACTCGTTTTCAACAATACGTCCATTGTGGCAAATAGTGTAACTGTGATCTTTCGGTCATTTCGTCTTGCTTCAGCAAATTACAAGTCCAACATATTGTGTTGAATGCTTTCGGCTACAAACCGACGGTTACCTAATGTATCTTAGGTTGCCTTTGAATAAAAATCAAATGCCCCATCGCACTCTAGCCAGTGAATGAAGCTGTTAGTCATTCATAATTTGTATCTCAGAATATCCCCCCTGCGTGACACTTCTTAGATGGTGCCTTCCTATAAAATGGGTGGGCTGAATTCGCGATGAGGGAAATTTGTAAATGGGAGTGCTTCTTTGCAGAGGGTACTGATTACTTATTTGTCTCTCATTTGGGGGGTAGTACTGTAGTCAGGTCCTGAGGTGACGACGTCAGTGTAAACAGGGTGTGCCATACTCTTATGAGAAGGCCTTGACCTATCGTGTAAAATTTCTTTCTGTTCAGGTGGGCAGTGAACGTCTCCAAAGATGTTACCCTACTGATAACACAGAATCCAGTTGTATGGATGAAAATTCACACAAAAGCTCTGTCCAGTTTTGAAGCTTCCAGTCACTTTATAGAAAAAAATACTGGTAACTTAAGTAGTCGTAAGCCTAGTTGGGCTGGGAATATATGGGAATATACAAGTTTTGCGTACCGGTCTCTTATGGTTGAAAGTTACGCCTCGGGATTGTCCAAAGTGATACAGCAAACATCCGTACAGCGTGCTGTTATGCAGTAATTAATTTTTCAGACAAGTCGCTCAATACTATCACATAAAAATCTATTCCCGGCCATCTTGGTATAATACTTTAAATCGCTGGTTTCAACTGTTCGCACAAGTATCTCTATGTCATCCTGCGTTACTCTAAACGTAGGTGTTACGTCAACGCGCGTTCAAGCGCGCTACGTATTAACGTCACATCCAGGGTCCAGCTCTTCTGAGGGACCGTTTTCAACCGGTCCGTTCAATGTACGGGAGTTTCACTGCATTTACTGAAATTTCAACTCATCTGTCCACTCATGCAATGCTGGAACGTGACCACGTCCGCCGGACAATGACTAGCTTGTTGCTGCGAGATGGCTCAACTGGGTAGAGTGTGAATTTACTGGCCGGAAGGTCTGTGGTTCGAACCCGGCCTGTGCATCTCGACTTCCCCTGTCTAGGATTGGGCAACCTGGGAGTATCCCAGCGTGCTTGCTTCCTTCAGGTGGCATGGCAGCTGGGCGCTGTTGCTGCGTTGACCTCAGATAGCCTGCATTACCTGGCCGCACAGTTATTTTTGCCCTACTGTTTATTTCCATTCTTATTTTTAACATCATTATTCTCATTACTCTAAAAATTGAAAGTTCTTTCCCTTGGGCCAGAGAGTCCGGGAGAGAGAAGATACAGATTTCCAAAGCTTTTTTTGTGCGTTTGACTTCACACATATTCCGTAGTCTGGTTATCTCTCGCGTTCATCATCCTTGTCAGCTGTAATAACCGCGTACTCGTCGTCCAGTGGTTGTAACTGCCGCAGTTTCGTTCACCGATGATTTGGGAGGGGGGTAAGTAGCTGCGCATTGCAGGCGGGAGCTGATAAATGGGTGCATAAATCCAGCACTGTTAGTGGGCTGTCAGCGTGACTCTACTGATCTTGGTCACTTAATATCCCAATGGGTCACCAATGTAATTTTACACAGTATAAGCTCCGTAAAAGCACTTCGGGAACATGAGTTCGAGTTGGCTCACTGGTTAAGAGGCGAACTTACTGACCGGAAGGTCGGCGGCTCGATACTAAACGCGGTACACTTATTGCTCCTGTGGTGACTTCTAAAACATGGTGAAAACGCCTTGGGTTGTATAGAAACAACATTACAAATGAAATTATCCGGAGTTTTGAGTTTAGTGAGTAGACCAACAGATTTCAGCAACTAAACTAATCTAAACCTTTCTGAACCGTGGAATCATGACCGACCATTACGTACTGCCGCGAAAATGAACCGCAATCTTGGGACTTACCACGCTACTTGTCGTAAAGTACAGTTCTACGCCGACTGCGAAATTTCATTGCAAACTAACTCACCTTCCACGTCTCCTCTGGTGGTACATTGTCGTACAAGATAGATCCATCCTCTCCCTTAGGAAAAAGCTCATCACTTGGCTGGTTGAGTTTGGCGAGTGGTATGAATAACTGAACAAACCTCATAGGACGCTGGCCAGTGCATCAGGTACAAATCCAAATAATCCAACTGTAGTTTCTTTAGACTTCTTAGACAGCCTTCATGAACCAGTTCCGGACGATGAAATGTGTTCCAAAGCTGAAAATAAACTACTCATTCTTCTGTTACTTTTGATGTGATGAAAAGATCTTTTCGGTGAACAGTTCCACTTTCCATTTCTTCCTTTAAAGCACTTCCGATGGGACCTTCATTCGCATAGACAAACGCGCAGTCAAAATGTCGGTAGCCTGCCTCCAGGGCTGATCGAACAATTTTTTTGGCTTCGTTATCTGCTATCTAGAAAGAACGCGAGGTAGGTCCACCAATATGAATTTAAAACGAACTTTCCATGTTCCTAGCCCAATGGTTGGTATTAGGTGACCGTCTTTTAGTTGTCTGGTTTGTTCCATGATCGAAAATTACTCAGTTTTGCCGTATTTTACGACAAGGTTAGTTTCTCAAGGCAGTTCCTTAATGGCACCTGTAAACGAATCATGTGTCACTGTCCGTACAAACAATGAAAGTGGTCCTTACAAGAAGGAAAGTCTAAGACAGTAAATCACCAAGGAAAGACCCCTTTGAAGTGCGGCCTGAACGGCTAGCTCACCAAGCACAACTCACCATGAGATTACTTTTCCACAGTGAAGTCGCCCCACGACAGATTTCCCTTCTTCCAGTGTCCTGTGTTCTGTGGCTTCAAGGCGCAGTACAGTTTGTGAATATCTAGTCAATAGCTACGGTCATCTATTCATTAGGGATCATTTTTCTAGTTAGTGTTATGTGCTATGCGAAAAACGACTAAAAACCGCACGTAACTTGTTAAAATCGCACCACATGCTACTGAGCCCCGGCCAAACCAAATGCAAAAATCAGCACACTCCGGGGTACGCGACTTACTTACGGTTCAACACATTTAACGGTAGCATATTGCCATACTTCTCCCTAAACCGTGCGAACATTGTTTACAAACAAGTACGGCATATACCCACGATTTATCTGTTCGGTCCAACCAAACTTCCGAAATCTCTCTTTGGCTGTTCATACACCTTAAAATTACACCTCACACTAGAATGGATTTGTGATGATGTCTTTGATCAGAACACTGATGATCGAAACTCTGGGTGCATAATAGCTGTGTTGCAACTGGTATAGTATGGAACAAGACACCGTCATGTTGAAATACCAGCTTATCTAGTTATAGCTCGTAAGACGACAGGAAGAATTGTTTGCCGATTGTAATGCTGTGGGAATTCATCATGATATTGCCGTCTGGTCCGACCGATTAGCGTTGATTTATGAAGAACTGGGACCTCAAACCAAAAGACATTCTCTGTTGTGAATCTGGCAACCGCGAATTACCTCTTGATTTCCAGTCCCGTAACAAAAATAAACCAAGTCGTATGAACAGCGGAAACACGTTTTCTGTCATCCCTGAGCGTAACTATTTTCGATTCATGATTCCTCAACACGCCCGTCTGTTGACTTTGAGCTTCGTAAGCCACGCGTTCCGCAACATCGTCCACTGAAATTAGCACTGTTCTCAAAATGGCTTCTGCCGAATGGGACAAAATGCGAGGTGGACAAGGTGTGACAGGGGTAGTAAAGAGGTTACGAAGAGTTTAAGTGTTGTTTATGTGGTCAGCCTTCCAGGATGGAGTCCCCGCGAGCCCGCCCTATGTACTTAACAGGAAACATTACAAAAAATGGTCGTTAACCAATGTCAGCAAAGTTCACGCTGTCAGTGTAATTCTATATTGAGCACTTGGAGTTGTAGACACCTCAGAATGCTTGCGAGAGGCTTCCACCAGTCTCTCATTNTTCCACCAAGTCTCTCATTCATCCACTCTTTCCTCTTTTTTACTATAGGGGGGAGAGGACTCAGTGGTTAGAGCGCGAATTCACTGATAGGAAGGTCCGTAGCTCGAACTCAACCTCTGCCTCTCGACTTCCCCTGTCTAGGCTTGGGTAACCTGGTAGTTTCACAGCTTCCTCCGGGTGATCTGGGCAGTCAATCATCGAAAGGGTACTACAGCTGAATGATTTTTTTCTTCACTTTGAGGCTTCTTATTAACTAAATAACCTTCACAGTTGCAGTGAACTATCAGTGCCAACACTGATGACGATAGAGCCTTGTGGTTTAGCTTTGTGCTTTGTGTTCCGAACGCAGAAAACCTGGACGCGTTTACTGGACACCCCGAAGCTCAAACGCAGATTGAGGAACACGCTACTTATAATCTGGTTAGTTAGGGCCCTCAATACACACTGCTCCGCGGTGCTATGCACAGCTTTTGATAGAGCCCGTGGTTTTCTCAATATTTTGGAGAAATTATACGAGAAATGATTCGCCAAAATTTCTGATAAACTAGATTTAGTTGCAATGCATCCGCTGCTTGTTTTAACATCCCAGTCTTTCCGTTAACGAGGATTCACAAACCCAACCAAACTCGTATATCGTTCATTTTGCGAACTGATAAATGATGTCAATCGCGATCCAAGAATATTGTTTTTGGAGCGCAGTACATGACGAAAACAGCTCAGAGGTCGTTGCCTGTCAGCGGACCACAAGGCATTCTGCTGAGCAGGTGGGACAGGACCAAACTTTTAGTATCATCTTTTTTAAGTCACAGAAGGTGAAACAAGCTTATACACTGATGGTTACTAGTCAATTTAATTTTTTCAATTTATCAACTCTATACCGTGTACCATAGGCACAGTGGTCCCAATTGCTAAAATTTCGATCACCGGAAAGTGGGAGGGTTGACATACAGCCAAGTCTTGGAGGCGATGGCATGTTTGGTTAGTTCGGGAACTGGGCAGCTAGGCATTGAAGGAAATGGCTTTGGTTCATGAGCGCCATTGACTGCATCACTGGGCTATTTCGGCCTGTGTCACTAACCATTGGTTAGATCCGGGATACCAATCCAGGGAGGCGACAGTTGTCGACGCGACTAAGTTTACTGGTTGGTGTTTTCATACTTTGTTGCTAAGTCATACATTGTCCATCTCTCGGTCACTTCCACTCAGTTCAGAGCTGGGCTGAAGCAGCTTTGCGAAGCAGATGGGCTTCTGGTGTGCTGCCTACATGTCCGAACCAGCGTAACCTATGAGGCGTGAGTAATGAATCTATCACAGGAGAGAGGTGTATTTTTGTATGGTTGTGAGACATATGTTGAGAGGCATCTTCAAGTTTTTAACCACCTATGCCCCAGTAACCTTGCTGGTGTCGGATGGCGTCAACGAAATGGCAAGCAAGCGGTTAAAAAAACAGATCGTTGGTTATGACTCAAGTACTTCAGTCACGGAAAACATCCAGTACCATCAGCTGCGGTAGCTCGACAATGTGCTAGGTTAAAACAACGTCTACCGAGACTAGGGTTGCTCCCCTTGCCTCCTTCAGGATGACAAAGACCGCGAGATGGACAATGTATGAGTTAGTAGAAGGTGCCCGTCTCCCAGAATGGAGTCCCCGTGGCCTCTCGTGAGCTTGGCTGGAAATGGCGCATTACCGATGTCAGTGGTATTCGTGCTGCGAGTCTCTTCCCAGATTACTTGGCTGAGCGCTAGGAGGTGTAGGCACCTCAGAATGCTTGCGATAGACCAGCGTTAGGTACCCTTCCCCACCCACTATTTTAACCTTCCTTTTACTCTAGGGTTTTAAATATAATGAGATAAACTTCATAATTGTACGGCAGTGAAACATCAGTGCCCACAATCTGAATTTCTTTGTTGATTGTCCGGTAGGCTATGAAGCATATTCAGACACCTATTGACCGATTGTGTTATCCTTTAACTTGTTGGGAGTTTTGCATCGCCTCCTACCCGTAGATACCCAACCAACGAGCAAGTAACTGCCTATCGCAAAGTAAATATGTTTTCTGGTCTAGGGAAAACTTGCATCCTCAACGGAAACTTAAGAGCATATGTTTACAAATGTGAGAATCAACAAGGTGAGATTAAAGCATGTTTTTGTGCCTTACACTAGTTTATGTACGGTAGGTTGTGTCCTCTCCGGCAGATTTGTTTCGGACAGTAGAAATTGTTAGCCTTTTTGGGCACATTAGCATATGGTGGAGGGATATCAAAACTAACAAGAACACCGCGTGCTACTGAGAGGGATAGTCGCGAGTTTGCTGACGAAATCGTGCGTATTCTTAACTTGCCAGACTGTAAATCCGTTGTTGGATTCCACTCTCAGGATACAACCGAATGGTAAGGTGCGTTCATTCCATTAACTCATTTATTAAACTTTGAGTAGATTTCAGGGAGATTTGTACAAAGACCAACCGCAAGGACCCGGTTGGCATTGGAGATCATACGGAAACGATGGTTTATCTGAAATTTCCAGTTCATTCTCATGCTTGTTGAGCTACCTCAGCACTAAATTCGTCCCTGCGACGCCCTCTTCCCGATACGGACACTTGTGTACGCCAGAACATGTCAGGCTATTTCGAGTCGTCGTGTCTGAGGATCCACGGTGTAGTCTACCAGCAAATATAAACAAAAAACCCAATTCAAGTGTAACACTACTCATCAGGCTGCTGAGAACCTCAATTCGCCGCTTTCTTGAAATTAACGACAAACAGAGAAGTCCAGCAACTTACGGGCGCCGCGCAGCGTGTTTGTTCGCACTCACCGCATAACGGCGAACGGAATCACGTGCTATGAGATCAACCCTAGTTCTGACTGACGCTCCAAGGCGATCATAGCAGGACAAGTCAGAACAGGCCGGCGGTCGAAGGGGTCAATGCGGGCAGATGAACAACTGTGCTGAAACAGCATAGTCAAGGACGCACACAAGCCCGTCACTTTCGGGTAGGCCTGTCGACGTTACTAGGTCGATGGGGAGCCTAAGGGTCGTGACAATTTAGATGGAAAACGGATGATAAAAGATAAACATGCGAGCTGGCAAGCCAGTCACAGGTCACAGCGTATCCCGGCCACCCTGAGTGATTTTTGACATTAGACAGGTGAGAATTATCGTACACGTAACACGTAAACTTCGTGCAGCAGCGCGCGGTACAGTGGAGACAATTTTAGTGAATGCGACGTTGACTACCCAGGATTCATAGTACATTAGGAACCAGCGCCTCAGTGGACGTTTCTGAGCGGAACTAAATAGAAAATGAGGATGTGAGCTTTGATGCGGCAAATCACGCGTGCATCACACAACCGGTGACTGTTCAAGAGTTGGCTGGGAAACGTGTGTTACCGCAGAGAATTTCGAAGACTGCCTTTGATGGAATTTCGATGTGCATTGATCACTTACAGATGGTGACCGATTTCGACATGTTCGCATTTAGAATACAGATAGGACCGCTGCTGTCGTCCAATTTGACTTGGACACAAGAACCTGGGAGCACTCAGTTCGAAGTGCTTTTTCAGAAGAGGTGGTGAATAGAACTATGCCCAGAGAACTCAAGATATGACACAAAGATACATCAATCCGCGGGAGTATAAACAGACTACGCTTAAAGCGGTAAAATTTCGACCAACCGAGATCTCAGAAGAAGTGGTGTTTTGCAATGAGGATGCTAAATTCAGTGCACCGGTTCGCATAGAATATCCCTACAGAAATAACGAACTCTCCGAAATCCATGATCTAGAGTTTTTCGCCTTCGTCCCAGCATGCGTGGATGGTTGGATTGGTACAACAGACGATAAATACATCAATGGGGCGACATGGCTGAGTGGTTAGAGAGCGAATTTACGACCGTAGGGGTTCGTGGTCAACTGTCAACTCACTCTTACCATATTCGATTCCCACCGTTTCAGATAGCCACCAACACACTCAATGTACTTTTAACCTCTCACTTGTTCTGTATGATATAAACTCTTCGTCCCAGCATGCGTGGATGGTTGGATTGGTACAACAGACGATAAATACATCAATGGGGCGACATGGCTGAGTGGTTAGAGCGCGAATTTACTGACCGTAGGGTTCGTGGTCAACTGTCAACTCACTCTTACCATATTCGATTCCCACCGTTTCAGATAGCCACCAACACACTCAATGTACTTTTAACCTCTCACTTGTTCTGTATGATATAAACTGCCATTTAACTGTCCAGGACATCTACCACCCTCTTCTAATTAAACAGATGAATAAGAAATCCCGGAACACCTCTTTGAGGTTACCTAAGCCATTTACTAACTTGGGAGTTTAATCACCATCATTGACAGAAAGTATCAAAACACTGATACATAGCCGGTGAAAACAAACTGATTAGGTTAGGGATGAGAAATCGGATAGGTTCACAAAAAGAAGCGAGCCAAAAGCGCTAGGCATCTCATGCGACTTCATGAAGGTCAAAAGCCTCCACTTTTGGTTCCGTTACAAACAATAAAGCTGATGATGTCGGTACGATTGACTAATTGACTTTATTTGGCTTCACTGACCACCTATTGCTCAAGATCGAGTCGACCTTTTGGCTACCTATCAAACTGTAGGATAAACTTCGAAAATTTTTGTTAAGGACGAAGTTGAACAAGAACGGAGAGAGTATGCGCAGACACCACACTTTGTATGGTAGCTTTTAGATAGCTCACCATACACTCTCACACACCCAAAATATATGAATATAGGGATCCGATTATGCTCAAAAACTTCTGCGGCACAGCCTATTGAGCAAGTGCGGTTGGCGACACTGATATCGACAGATTTGAAAGTACCCTTGAATTCAAGGAACACCAAGATTTTGAGCCGTCTGTATATATGGCGTTGCTCTAACGCCTAAAGGGTTTAAGCAAGGTGACCAGAATTTATCTTCGCAATTATTGGGTTTGACAAGGTTGTCCTCTCGCTCACTGCTCAGTTTTCTTATCGGTGTCATCATGGAATGCACGCTTAAAGTACTCAAGATTGCGGAGCTTTTCACATGCCCTGATAGCTGCGCGCGTTCCGGTGGCAGTGTGACGAAGAAAATCAATGAATGAATTTCTAGGATTCGTACCGGCAAAACGGTAGACTGTAGAAAGGGCTGTTTCGTTATAAGGTTGTCAGGCGCATAGCCGAAATAAGATCTTTCGGTCTTTGACAACCATTGCCTCAGAACCATTGGTCAAGCAGGCTGTTAACAACTAACCCGCAACGATACAGTTTGAACAATGAAAGTTGAGTTTTACGTCATCATCATCATTATTGTCGGTTGTACTAACCGCATACTTGCCGTACAATGGCTGTAGCCGCCACTGTTTCGTTTACCGATGATTCGAGGAGGTTGGGTAGGTAGCGCTGCATTGGACGCGGAACCTGATAAATTAGTGTGTAAATGCAGCACTGTCAGTGAGCTGTCAAGTGGGAGAATGGGGGAGGGAGCTATACACTGAAGGCAATAGCTTGGATGCATGGGCGCAATTGAGGGCGCGAGTGGGCCATGTCTGACAATGTCTCTAACCATTGATATGGCCCGTCTCGGGGTCCCCATCCAGGAATATGGCAATGACCAGCGCAGCTTAGTTTGCTGGTAATGGCTATTATACTTCACTGGCAAGTCATTGCTTGACCGCTACAGCTGAACCAGTACATTGATCGCCAAAATATCTTTGAAATGGGTGTCATAATCAAGATCTCGTGCTTTCCGCGAAGCTCGAATTTTCGTGGAACACTGAATATTGCGGAAAGACACATGGACTGTTGGATTTCCGGAGAAAATCCTGAAGACTCACATGCGCACATAGTTTGGCAAGTATTTTTCGCTTGTCATACGTTCTGCAAACCAATGAATCCAAGAGAATCCAGTTAATTTACCTCAGACGAGGAAACCTAACCACACTGAGTGATATTCAGTTGTGCAACATCGATGCCGTTCGCTGCCACGAGGCTCAATACATTAGGGGAAAGGTGGCATACTATATCCTCACTTTACGATATTGCTTTTTGTGAATTCCACTCAGCTCCCCCAGGCTGCATGAATCACATGATGCCACTTACACGTGTTTTTCCTCGGCTTCACACCTGATTTGGAATGTTGATGGTATGAGGAGATTTCGCAACTTCAGCTGAGAAGTTAGTCTAGGCGATAAGGCTGACAAACACTACACAACTGTTCCAACCTTACAAGAAGTGTTGAAAAATGCCCTGACACGAAGAGAATGTGACACAGTTCTCAGCACCCACTCTCTCTCTTGAGTTCCGGATAAGAAACCACGAGTCAGATCCCAGATATCAAAACACTTGGCTTTTGAAATCTACGGTACTGGTTATGCAAACAACAAACTTTTATTGTCAACGTTCATGGAATCGATGACAAGTACGGAATTTTATGGCTGACCGGCGCAGTGCAGTGTCAAAATCTTCGAGCGGAATGGTGTCTTGTCAGCGCGCTGTCTTACCTGGGATCGACTCTGACTGGTGGTGTCATGGAGAGACGAGCCAGAACAAACCCAGCAATCGAGCCCGAATGTGGATGGGTAAACAGGTAAAGCTGCACACATTCAAGTATGCCAGTCTCGAGCGGGACGACAATGTGGGAAGATGGATGGCGGACAGGAAAGTCGCGACAAATTAGGTGAAGTGAGAATCGATAAACAGGAAAACGATGTTAGTTGATGAACGGGGGAATCTTCAAGTTGTCGAATTACATTCAGTGACTTCTCGGGAGGAAACTGCCCCACTGAAGGACCACAAATCCCCGAAATTGTTTATTTGAAGAGTTCTGAGTAGACAAACAACCACACCTTAAAAAGAAATCAAATAACGTATTCATTCTGTTCGATTTAACTTGCCATGTTCCAACTGATTTTCTTTCATTTTGTGAGATAAGTAGAGGCTCTAATGGACATTCGGAACCATAAACTTCCGATCTCGGCTTTCCTTCATCAGTTGAAGTGAGTAATTTTTTAATTGTTCCTGGCAGCACCTATGTCCAGAGCGAACCAGGGATAGAAGAATCCAACAGTTCTTTCTGTAGGATATGCAACTGTGCCAGTGAATGATATTTCACAAGACTACAACCTGAAGTGAGACATGAATGCTGAGTCCACTTGGGTTGAAAATAGACGCTAAGTAAGTTTGATGGCTCTGGCAGCCTGTCTCATAGTGTGGACTCGGGAATGAGGTTTGATACTCACGACTTACGTCGTACATTACTGTTCAACCTCTATGTTAAGCTAATTTGCTCATGCCCAGGCGCAACCGGTTTTCGAAATGTTATTTCTCAGATGGAAACGGGTAACGTTCGAAACAACCTGCACCGTTCACCATATTTCTTTCCGACAGGCAAGAGAAGGCGACAGTTCAAGCAAACAAAAGCCAGCTTCCTACATAACACGAACAAGCGTAGTGTACATAAAATGCCCGAAATAAAACAAAGCACCGAAACGTTACCGTGAATCGCTGTTTAACCGATCTCCAACTGCGCATGTTTTGTTGGTTTGATCGATCCTACTAGGCACGTGATCAGCTGGCGGCCAACTGGATTTAAGCCGACTGTTGATTGGGTGTTGCGAACTAAACGTCTAGACAGGCAGCCAGTCTGGATGTTGGCCGTCATGTAAGGTGGATTTGGGAGTGGTGCCTGGATTGCTTTCAGGACTCAAAGGTCGTCCTTCAGTTTTTCGGAACGTTCCTTGGAGAGCACAACCATGCACTCAAGCTGATCTACCTAGCAGGTTTTATGCAGTTTCGACTTGACCTAAAACCAGACTTGGTGTGGGTGCAAGCATCGTCTCAACATTAGCAACCAACAGTCAAACTATCTTGAAGTGGGTGACTTGGTGAAAACCTGTACTGTTTCCTGGAGTCAAAAGGAGAAGAAAGGAAATCACGCAGATGTACTGGCCATCTACACTTGCTTCAGATGTTTCATATAGATCTTCCTGCATACAGAAACAGGAGCTTCATACCATAGTTCCACTCCTGTTTTCGTGAGCCATGCTAAAAGTCACATGAGTACATCAGGACTATTCAAAACTAAGCTTTAGCGTCACTAAATGCCACTAAGTCCACCCGCAGTTCTGGGTGACACAGTAACCGACTTGACGTCAGTGCACGTTTTAGAATGAAGGTACATCATCTGTACTTCAGACACATCGTACGTAGCACACAGCAACTTCACTGAGGGTCACACACTAACTTTCAGCTCTAGGCAGCACAACAACTCTCCTCTTGCTTGCGAGTTTCTTATGGTCCGGGAAAACTTGAATAGCTTCGTTAATTTATGTACTCTGAAGCGGTTTGTGGCTACGCATGGCTGCATTTCTCAATCAACTAATTGCCATTGTTCAGGATAGCACAAAGTCCCTTCCCCTTCCACCTTCATTCTTTTCTTCACAATAAGACTTTCAAATAAACCATGGTTAACAGTAGTGAAGCATCGATATTGAACATTGATGCCATGCTGCTGCTGCTGATGATGATGATGATGACGACGATGATGATGACGATGATGATGATGACGATGATGATGATGACGATGATGATGATGACGATGATGATGATGACGATGATGATGATGACGATGATGATGATGACGATGATGATGATGACGATGATGATGATGACGATGATGATGATGACGATGATGATGATGACGATGATGATGATGACGATGATGATGATGACGATGATGATGATGACGATGATGATGATGACGATGATGATGATGACGATGATGATGATGACGATGATGATGATGACGATGATGATGATGATGATGATGATGATGATGATGATGATGATGAAGCTCAAACGGGATAGCCACACGCTATTTTTCGTTTCGCTAGGCGAGAGTCCCGTGATTTCTGCTCAGTTGCAAAAATCAGTTGATAGGCAAAATTTTAAAGGAAAGCTTGGTTTAAAGTGCTACCATGAACGCACAATGAAGTGTCGGTTACAGGTTCTGAGAATGTGGTACTTCTTTAAGAGAAAACTCTCCAAAAAAATACCACTTTTCTGGATAGGCTACGGAAATTTCTCCCGTCAAACTCGATTTGTTGCGAAATCCTCTTTGAAGAGAGGCCTCTACAGGAAAGACCGAAACCCTCGTTCCATTTTCGTCTACCTCCACTGGCCTTGGTGTTTGGGTTCTCTGGATGTATTTTAACATGCATATGGCTATGAGAGAAAGCAAGCCTTCGGAATTCACTACCGAGTAAGAAGTGGTTTAGTTTTTTATTTTAGAGTAACTGACTAAGGAAATGCTTGCTGTTCATCCGCACCACTCGCTCTGATTGCGTTCATCATCAAGCGATACACAGGTACTAGTATCTGTCTGGATTCCTGTGTCAAAGGTCGTCCACTGTCAGAGCGGTCATGTTTCACGTGAAAGACAAAACACATAGGGTGAGTGTTACCTCTCAGTTTTGTGACGTTAAACAAGGGGATTTCTGATCCGAAGAACCCCGGAAATAATAGTATAAAAGACCATTAAACTGCGTCTTAGAACTATCAGTGACTATGCTGTCCCACAGCCTTCCAACGGGCAACAAAAAAGTTGTCACCTGAAACTCTATGCCATTGTCTTGGGTCGCATACTTTTGTATCCCTGCCTCAATGGAGAATATGAAAAAGGACATGACTATATTTTTGGACAATAAATAGGTTAGAATTAGGTCACCATACAGATACCAGTAGTTCTACAGATGGCGGTCAAGCACTTCTAGGCTAGTACTGTCTCCTGGAGAGGAGGACCAGCAACCAGCTTCTCAGGTACGTAGTTGGAAGTGCACATTACACTAGTAGTTCCTTCGTAATCCTAACTGGGCTCTCTGTTGACCAAGCAACATTTCAAAATTCGCGAGTTTCGATAGAGCGAATAAAACTCCGAACATACAACTTATATACTAATCTTCATACCAATTTGGTTGTGACGGGTGACCCAACTAGAAGAATATCATAAACAAGAGATTCAGCTGTAAGGAGGCGAGATGGCTCAAGGGGCTAGAGCACGAATTTACTGACCGGAAGGTCTGTGGTTCGAACCCGACCTCTGCCTCCCAACTTCCCCTGTCAAGGCTTGGGCAACCTGGCAGTATCCCAGCCCTCGTGCAACCTTCGGGTGGCATGGCAGTTAGGCACCGAAAGGGTGCGACAGCTGAACGATTCAGCTGTGTTCCAGGTGGGTTTCCCCTAATAAGCAAATTTGTATGCAGGTGAGTGTGTAAGTCAAAGTTCGTAGAATTTGGGTTCAAGTAGAGCACAAGTTTGACGGAAAATTGGGGACTGCGCCAGGAGGAGTAGAGCCAGTCGTGGGTTATCGGAGAGTTTTCAGCAACTCTAAGGAGTAGTGTGTCATGCCTATACAATGTTCGAACATCTTCATGACAATGATTTCCCGTAGTAGTGAGATGAACAGGCGGCCAGAAGCCAAGATTACTACTGGTCTCCAGTATCGATACCACCTGATGCCCTTCTTCATGTATCATAATGACCTCCCTAGAATCTTTACCAAACGACGAACGGACACGCTTTTTTATTTAAAAGGCAGGTACAAGTCCACTACCTAGCGTTGCGTCAGCATCATTGTGGAGTTTATGGACACCGGATTCGTGAGCGTTTGCGAAGAGTAGGGATTGGCCGTTGTAACATCCTGAAGGTGAACAATGTAGATTAGAAAAAAGTTATCTCGAAGCAGAACCCTGGGACTCCCTTACTTTCGGCGGCTAGGAGGAGGAACAAATCGTACTACTTTTGGTCTGGGAAGTCCGGTGTGAGGGAAAAATCGCAATTCAATGCATAGTTGCCCATAGAATGTTACATGCCTTGAGTAGGTGGCAGTAACTATTTGTGAGGGCTTCTACCGAAAGCCACTGCGGATTCAAAGAATACGGTATCCGAACAGAGTCATTTATCGACAAATACACTCATTTGCAAATCACTTTGGGGTTTACCGCAGACTCAAGTGAATCCCTCGTTTATGATGTTCTTCAACTGAATGTGCTGCAGACAGGCCGCCACAGTTTCGTACAGCTTGGGTCCAAGTAGAACATAAGGTTGACGGAAACTCTGGGACTGAACCTACCTGATGAGTCTATTAGTGCACAAGTGATGATAGTCATAATACAAATCAGAAGGTGAATGTGCACTAATAAAAGTTTTTGTATGGTTGCGACACGTATGAAAATAAATACAGTGCGAAAATGGGAGCAAGTCAAAAAGGGAACTTATCGGATGCGAGAGTCCCTTGGCGGAAGTCCGGACGGCGGGAACGTGTTTTTCTCCGCAGTTCGACTGCTACACGTACTCCATGGTTGTCCGTGGACTTGTGGAGAGGTTGACGTCCTGCTCCCTGCGCGCGCGCGAGTGTGTGTGTCTTGACTGGGTTCGGTTTGCGTTTATGTAGGTCCCAGTGCGTAAACGTGGGCGCGTCGGCACATGATTGGTCGCTACGCTGACTAGGCGGTGCAGACAATCGATGTCTGATGAGTCAGCTTAATGCGACGTGTTTGTGCGTACGAGAAAAAAGACAAGCCTCGCGATCCAGTGAGCGGCTGAGTTGAACAGTCAAGTATGTGGGTGACTGGGTCGCTACAAGCCCCAAGAAGGACGAAACTGGTCGTGGGCTGTCGGAGAGTTAACTATTCTTTGCTTGTCTCAAGCTGCCCATAAAAACCGGCGCCGCTCCTGGTGAACCAGTTGTGCGGGCAACTACTTGTTTGGGTTGCCCCGTTTCGAGATCTTTTCATCGCTTTTGAGCGGTGCCTTGTTGAGATCGATGGGTCTATAGCTGGACAGTACTAAGTGGTCAAGGTGCTTGAAACTCTGTATGACGGCAGTCTCTCTCCAGATCAATGGGATAGGACCCATGTCAAGTGCCTGTCTGAGCAAGTTACAGGAATTTCCGTTCAGCTGACTGGATATCTCTTCCAGTGTCCAATGGTACAAATGATCTGGTCCCAGAACCAGTTGTCTCTGTGACTTTTACTCTTCTGGAGTCTCGGTGTGAAGGACAGGTGAATAATAGCTTAATATAGCACATGGAGCACGGCCACCTAATATGGGTAGGGAATGATTCATGAAGCGGTAGGGAGCCGGTTTGTCTCTGCGACGGTGCTGCATGTGCCTGTCTAGATTCAGTAGTTGACAATCATGAACTAGAGAATTTTTGCACCGGTTCTGAATCTGTGAAAACGCCATTTCGCTTTTAGCAATTCTGGTGGCTAAGTTTCCGTACAAAAGTGGGACCACTTGTCTGGCTGGTCACGGACTGTTCTACGGAACCCTTCTTCGGATCGTTGTGGATTTCCGCGAACGAAGGTCATGTCTGTTTCATTTGCCATCTAGGGCGGTGTTACAACTGACTTCTTTACATGGTGACAACAGCTCGGGTTGAGTCCGGTCCAAACCTGCTTGGCATGTATTTCGTGTAGATGCTTGTACTTTGAAATTTCCATCCAAATAGCGTGTAAAATCAGAGGAAAACGGACAGTAGTGACTGTGACCAAGTGGATCTCTGATGATCACCTACTGGAAAAAACATACCACACTAAGTGGAACTAAGTAGATTAGTGAATTTTACCAACCCGAGTGATTGTGAAGGGTAACTTAGGATGCTTGATCCAGAATCTCCTTCAACGGTGAGAGTAAAAAACACTGTGGGATGTTCCCTTATCAACATTGGCAAGATCCACCCAAAGAGGTTTTAGGAGCACAGAAGTGTGTGTGTAGGGGGGGGGGTACATTTAAGGTATCTGGTCCCATTCCCGGTGAAGATGCTAGTCGGCCTAAAAAGAATTTGGAGGACAGCGGTGAACCACATCAAGGAGAGGGAATTAGGCAGTAGAAGAAGGACTGAGAGAAAATGGCTTAAGTGGTCGCTGTCGCCCATCAGAAAGAAGTGTTCGCTTGCAGGATGTGTCAGAATATGGACACTGGACATATTCTGTCCTGATAACAAAGTAGACAACCACTAAGATCTCTGCGTTGGAGATAATGAGAAATGAGTCACGTCTGAGAAAAAGAAACCAGGGAGGGGTTTTCGGCCCCAGCTGTCTGTTGTATTTCTCAAAGCTTGTTGAGGAAGTCAGGACGGTTGGCGCAGAGAACATTTAAGTGATTTTCTTCCCCGGCATCTCAGAAAGAAGACTATAATGGATATCGTAGGTATAAGGTCATCCGCAGCGTCAGAATGTCAGCTACTGGCTTGCATGACGGGTGCACCTAGGGTTAGAAAGAGGGTTAAGTGGGTTACCGACCGGTGAAAATTATAATTCCTTTGATCGGTTGACAGATGACCATCGGCTTTTGTTTCCTAGAGCATCCTGTGCTCTTGTTCTATCTACGGAGAGTATCAAACTAACTAAAGCTCTTTCTGTCCGTATTCTTGAAGAAAGCCTAGATTTTTTCCCTCTCACGATACTGGTTGAACGAGGAGGTGGTTCAGCTCGCTGACAAAAATGTCTACTAGTTCTTTTGAAACTAAATGGAGTTGTGTAAAGAAATCCTTAGAATCTATAACATCACATATGGTACTTTAGTTGTTTTCTAAAATACCCATTCTGATTGTTGAAGGGCGGAATAGGCATCAGTTTTTTTCTTAAGCTTCGTCGTACCTGCGTCTATATTGAAGCGCATCTTTGTTGTCAGCGATCGATTACTGAAATTGATTCCTCTGGAACCGCAGGGCTGTCGCTAGTGAGAGATTTAATAGTGATTCGTTTAGTCCAGTTGTTTAGTGCAGTGATTTCTGTTTCACGACGTCATATCTATCTGGGCAAACTTTGATGCCATCAAGTATTCAGATTTGGAGTATATCGTTTTGATGATAATTTTCTTGTACTTAAAAATATGACTGTAGTGAGATTTGCTTCCTGGTCCAACAAAATCCTGGATAGTTGATACTTGCACTCAGTCAAATAGACATTTTTAGATTCAGCGGTCGTTTTACGACATTCCAGAAGGCAACCAAGTCAAATGAAATGTTCCTGCCTTAAATCACATGTGGCTGCGTGAAATATGTTGAACGTGTTAAATGCATTCCAATCCGCTACCGAGCAGCCTTGTTGAAAACAGTCTGTTCTCATCCGATCACCGTTTAGGCACACTAGTAAGTTGCAATAAACTTGCAAAGCTATTCACTTGACCAAGAGACAATCAGATGTTGTACGCAAACAGACCCCATCCCTGAATCTCAAGGGACGTATATATCAAGCTACAGTACGAGCTGCTTTGTTGTATGGCTGTGAGACTTGGCCTATTAGAGTAGTGAAACTGAGACGTCTTCAGGTGTTCGACAATCGTTGTCTCAGAACCATAGCTCGTGTGGGTTGGTGTCAGCGAATCCGTAATGAGGCAGTTAGAAAGCGAGTTTTCGGTTGTGCAATGGGTATTTCCATTGAAGCAACGTTGGTAAATACTTTATCATTGCAACCATTGTGCCAGAGTCACCTCATTCATTTAATCTTTGGAACGGTCGGGTTGTAAAGCATAAATTACTGTTGAAACAGGCCATAAATCAGTAATAGAATTTGCTGTAGAACTGCCTTGAAAACCACCCGAAACAGCAAAGAACGTTTAGACAGTAAGCATAAGGTGGGGGAGTCGGTAAAGTATTTTTCATATAACTCGACGGATTAGTGGACCTGGGAAAAACTTATTCCGAATACATAACGGTTGATCTTAGCATAACTAAGCTTCCTGTTGATTCCACCTTGGTTTAATTCTGCCATGTGACCGCTGGAAAACAAGTTTGGGGTTTAGAAATCAAAGACGACAATAAGTTTTCATAAAGAAAACCACTCACAAGGTTTCTGAAAACTCTTCGACAGCCCACGACCGGTTTCGTCCTTCTTGGCTCATTAGGTAGGCACAATTCCCGAGTTTTCGTCAACCTTCTGTTCTACTTGGACCCTAATTGGACTGTTTTTGAGAAATGCACTCATTTGCAAATCAATTTGGTTTTCACGAGAGATTCAACTGAATCCCTCGTTTATGATATTCTACGACTGAACATGCTGCACACAGGCTGCCTCATGTTTCAACTGGCACGATATTCGAGATATCGCAGTGTAGTTCCGAAGAAAATATGATATAAATATGTTTTCATAGAAAATATACTGCGATATCTCGAATATCGTGCCAACTGAAACATGAGGCGGCCTGTGTGCAGCACATTCAGTTGTAGAATATCATAAACGAGAGATTCAGTTGAGTCTCTCGTGAAAACCAAATTGATTTGCAAAGCAGATTGAAGCGGGCAGTCGGTCAAGACAGGTGGGTCCCGATAAAGCCCGCGAACCGGTTCGGAAGACAGAGCCACCCGTCAAAATCTTCTTGTTCCCAAAACAAGTGGCATGTGGGGGCTAACTGATGTCGTTACGGTAGCTGGAAGCTCCTCGAAAGCTTCACTGAGGTAGTTTGTTTTACATCCTGGTGTCTATCCAAATGGGTGCGGCAGTGCTTTGTGCCTTCAGGCACAACTGCGCGTACCTCTAACTTTCAAATAATTGGGCCGGTGGGCCGTTTTTTCTGGCCTTCGCCGGAGTTGCTCCCATTACTTAACCAATTTCGCATCCGGTGAGCTAGAGTTTTTCCCACACAAACTCTGATGCTGTATTGGCTCCATACCTGTTTACCTTTACCGCAGTAGCTTCGTGGGTATGTTTACACATCCCATAATGAAGGGCAGTCAAACGTGCCAAAATGAATAGGATCGACTGGAAAGCAACCCGGGCAGTATATTATGGACAGTCGGGACCGAAAGCTAAGAGATTACAGGAGAATCGGTTCAGAGTCCTTTAGCCCAACAGATTCAGTCAGTCTAGTTTGCAATGGTATCTGGCGATGAACTTCTTTGTTTACATAATCTAAGTTCCGGAAGCAAGCTTGAACACTTGGAACATCGAGAGTGATGAAAAAGTGGAAGTGACTTTGTTTCTGAATTTAACATTTTCAAAGTCACTCATCAGATCGCGGAAAAAATCTAGCATGTTCGAAGCGGTTCCACAATTCAGCTAGCTTCATTTAAATCACTGAGAGGTAACAAG